GGTTTCCATTATAGCACATTTCACACGCTCTTGCCCCGGTGAAAAATGCAGCAGAAAGGGCCGAATTCTTATGCACACGACAGACCGTTCACGCCACAAAATCCACTAACGAAGCGTTTCATTAACACAGAGTCAAGGTTGCCTGGTAGCTTCTCAGGCTCCTCCAGAAGGTCAAGTTCAGGAAAAGCAGACATCCCGCGTTCAGGGGCACAACAACGCGACCTGACAGCGGTCTGCCCTCCAGGACGAGAGCGGCTGCGGGGATGGCATGCACGTTAGCAGGTACGGCTGCACGGGCTGGTCGGCAGCTCTGCACCGGGGCCGTCTTGCCCTGGAGACGGTCCACGGCCAGGCGGGTTTAATGACCGGTAAGTGAGATCTCAGGGCTGGATCGCTTGGTGTGCAAAGGGAGACGGGATTGTAAAACTGCGCGGGCGAGGCCGTGTTTCTGTGTGGGGCAGGTGCAGGCAGCTCCTTCTCTCATCTAAATTCGAGGCTCATCTTAGCCACAAAGCAGCTCCGGGCCCGTCTAGAGGAACGCTTCTCAACCCGTGGGTTGCGACTGAAAAGTGGGTCGCAAGAATATATGAAAAGGTCACGAACAAACTTCAAAAATGGATTCTCCTTTCAAGAAGAAAAGCGAGAGAAACCGTGGGTTTTCCTGTGCAGGCTGGCAGAGCTCCCCCGAGCTGCTTGGCGCCCCCACCCCCCGCCCCGCACACGGGGGGCTGGAGCCCGGGGGCAGCGGGTCGGGACTGGGCATGGATGTTTACAAATGGGTCTTGGTACAAAAACGTTGAGAACCGCGGCTCGGGAGCGCCCACGTGCCCTATTCAGCGAGCGTGCGTTGTGGAAGCACTGGCTACTCAGAGGCCAGTGTTAAGGTTGTATTGACACATACCTTGACTCTGTTTCCCAATTTTCAGGGGTTTAAACTGCAGCAGGGCAAAGCACACCACAGATGCACTGGAGGGTAGGACTAAGATGCAGAGAGACTTTGACAAATTGGAGGATTGGGCCAGAAGAAATCTCATGAGGTTCAGCAAGGACAAGTGCAAAGTCCTGCACTGAGGAGGGGGCGATCCCCTGCACCGGGGCAAGCTGGGGGTGATGGGCTGGGCAGCAGCTCTGCGGAAAAGGACCTGGGGGGACAGCGGGCAATGTGAACAGGAGCCGGCAGCGCGCCCTTGTCGCCAAGAAGGTGAACGGCATCCCGGGCTGCATTGGGAGGAGCGTTGCCAGCAGATGGAGGGAAGCGATTCTTCCCTCTATTCTGCACTGGGGAGGCCACATCTGGAGTCCTGTGTCCAGCTGTGGGCCCCCACGACAGAAAGGATGTGGACACACTGGAGAGAATCCAGCGGAGGGCAGCGAAAATGGTTGTGGGGCTGGGGGACAGGACTGGTGAGGAGAGGCTGAGGGGAATGGGCTGATTGAGTCTGCGGAAGAGGAGATCGAGGGGGATTGAATAGCAGCCTTCACCTCCCTGCAGTGGGGTTGAAAGAGGCTGGAGCTGGGCTGTTCTCAGTGGGGGCAGATGGCAGGACAAGGAGCAATGGGCTCAAGCTGCAGCAAGGGAAGATGAGGTTGGATATTAGGAAGAATTTTCTCGCTAGGAGGGTGGTGAAGCCCTGGACCAGGCTCCCCGGAGGTGGTGGATCTCCATCCCTGGAGGTTTTTAAGCCCTGGCTGGACAAACCCTTGTCTGGGGTGATGTAGTTGGGGCTGCTCCTGCTTTGAGGACAGGGCTGGACTAGATGTGACCTCCTGAGCTCCCTTCCACCCTGAATTTTCTATGATCTATGATTTGGGCACTGTTCATTCTGGGCAAATATTTTATTGTCAGTGAAGTCAGTAGGTTTGGAAGCGAAAGAGCAAGGGTTTTGTGGGAGACAGCCCCCCGAGGAGCCTGCTGCCGCGCCGGCTGGCAGCGGAGGTCCTACCGTGGCGAGATAGAGGCAAAGGCAGCTGCGTGATCCCCAAGCGCTCGTCTGCCTTCACGCACCCTCCGCTACAGCGGAGCACGGAGAGCGGTCCTGCGGTAAAAGCCTGAGCGAGGAGACCGACGCGTCTGTCTCCTTCTCCGCCCCCAATCCCTACCGCCGCCTGCGGAGGGTAAACCTGCCAGCTAAGCCTCCCACTTCTTGTCACGTTAGGCCACTGGCACTTTAGAAACTGCTAAAGGAGCGGAGCCAGGGACAACGCACACAGCAGTGGGACCCGCCGCGTTGAAAGGGGACAACAGACAAGGGGTCGGAGGGGGAGCATTTGCCCAAAAGGCAGCTCCAGCCAGCCCAACCTGTCGGTGAAGTTGGACCGAATTCACCAGACCGCAAACACAACTGACAAAAAGCTTTGGGAAGGCGAGAACAGTTCGTTTTGGTAGGGACCAGTGCTGTGATTTGACGTCCCCAAAACACTTTGTTTTCAGGCTCTTGCAATAAAAGCGAGGAAACAAAAAGCTGGATCCACAAAGCCGCAGTGGCACCGCACCGGGCTTCACAAATCCAGGTCCTTCAATCTTTCTTCATAGGTCGTGTTTTCTAAATTTTACCTTTATTTTGCTCTCCAATGGCTCATATCTTTCATAAAATGTGGGATCTAAAACTGGGCCCAGTTTTCCATGCAAGTGTTCGCTGGTGCCGAACAACGACTCCCTGTGTCTTGCGCGTGATGCTCCTGTCGCTCCATCCAAGGCAACAAACATGTCCTTTTTCTGCAACAGCATCACACCGCTGACGCCGGTGCAGTCTGGAGTCCACTATAACACCCACACACTTTTTGGCAGTATTGCTGTCTAGGCAGTTATTCTGCATTTTGTTCTTCTGCTTCTTTCCCTTCCCACGCAGCGCGCTTGGAAGCCATCTTTATGCATTTCACCTTATTGATTTTAGACCATTTTGCCAATTCATCACAATCATTTTGAATCCTACTCTTATTTTCAGCGGGCTTGCAATCTGTCCCAGCTAGGTATCGTCCACACACCGTCTATTCCATCATCTAAGTCATTAATGAAAATATTGAATAGCTCTGAACTCAGCACAGACCCCTGTGCGATCCTACTCGATACGTCTTCCCAGTTTGACAATGAACTGTTGAAAACTACTCTCAGCGCAGCACGGCCTTTCAACAGTTTGTACCCTAATTTTATGGCATCTGTGTAATATTTCTCTAATTTACTTTATAAATGTATAAAAACTGTCACATGGTAAAGTGTCAAAAAACTTACCAAGTCAAGGTATATCACAC